CATGCAAAAGTTGTGCGCAGTGGGAAGCCAACGCGTCATGACTCACATTATGATTTTCTGTGATCAGTGATGTGCTGCTTTCTTTTGTCAAGTCCATTTCGGTTATGGACGACGCCCCCGCTGGGCCCCGCAGGGCGGTCAAACTTGTCCTGGGAGGGCTTGGGGGACAGAACTACATTTACCGACGGGTCAAACCTGACCCATTTCCAATGCCTCAGACGGGGCAATCCTTTGTCCCACGAGACGTCTCGAGCTGGTCAGGCTTTGACCAGAAAGAGGGGGAGTCGGTGGACAGTCTGGCGCGACGCTGGTTTCAGTCTGCTGAGCTCTATTTGCGCATGTGCTTGGCCATCCCAGCTTCGGACAGGCCGCGTCACTGTGGAAGAGAGCTCGGGCGTCGACTGGAAAACGTTCCCCTCGTGTGTGAATGGGGGGAGAGCCTTCGCAGAAAGGCGCGCCCCCCCCCACCCCCCCCCCCCCAGTGACTCAGAAGGGTGCTCAGCATCAGGCGTTTTAAAAAACCATGCAATGGCTGCCGCGCTTCAGAACACCGCCGCCTCTGCCAACAGGAAGTCGAAAAAAACAAAAAAAAAAGACGCCAAAAAAGGGGAAACTAAAAGCTACAAAAAAAAAACAAAAAAAAAAAAGAAACAGAAAAAAAAAAAAAAAAAAACAGAGAAGAGAGAAAAGAGGAACAAAAAAAAAAAAAGGGGAGACTAAAAGTCCGAAAAAGAATGAGAGAAAAGGTGAAAAAAAAAAAAAAAACAAAAGAAAAAAAAAAGAACAAAAAAAAGAAAAAAAAAAATAAAAAAAAAAGAAAAAAAAAAGGCCAGGTGCCGAGCTCGTCGTAGAGAGCTGGGGACGCAGGGCGCGAAGCAGCAGGGTGTGGCGGGTGTCGGAGAAGTCGGTTTCAGGATCAGCGATTTTGAATCCTCGTTGCAACTGCTTGCGAGCGACGAGCAGAAGGGTGTAGCTTGCAAATTTGTTCAAGATCAAGTGCTTGCGCACAGGGCTGCAGATGCAGCCGCCGCCAGAGCCAGCTGGAGAGAATTTTCGGAGCTCGCTTTTCAGAATGGCGCGGGTTTGGCGCACCGTTTTTCTAAGGGCCCCAGGGGCGCCGATCCGTCTGATCAGGACTCCAGTGGGCTACCTGTCGTAGGTCATGCGGCCCTCCAGGCCATGCTGGGTGAATGGGAGAGCTTGTGGGTTGTGCCTGAGCGTGGAAGTGAAGCTCACCCGCTCACCTGGTCGGTCGAGGATGCACCGCCGCTCCCTAGGATGGAGAGTCACAGGGTTAAGGCAGTGTTGCAGACTTTCAGGGCAAAGACAGCGCTGGGATGGGATTGTTTCCACCCGCGCTGGATCGAGCATCTGCCTGTCGAGCTGCTAGAGTCCCTCTCTGCACGTATGCACCGCTGGGAAGACAACCCAGAGGACACAGACATGTTGCTTACGATAATTGTGTTCCTTGCTAAGCCCCAGGGAGGAGTGCGCCCCATAGGTCTCCTCCCTCTCTTCGGTCGCATCTGGTCTCGACTGAGGCACTCAGAAGTGGCCAAATGGGAGGGCACCCTCGGAGACAGTTTCTTCTGGGGGTCCTCGTCCGAAACGTCGTGCGACAAGTCGGCCTGGATCCACAACGTGCTTGCGAGCGTTGCCCCCGTTTATAACCTTGTCAGTGTTAGTGCGTTTGTGGATCTCAGGAAATTCTATGAAATGATCAGCCACGCTGAATTATTATGTGCTGCTAGGGACACAGATTTCCCCATCAGGTTGTTAAAACCACTGTGCTGCATGTACAGAGGCCCAAGAAGGGCCACATATCAGAGATCAACGTCATCTGAACTGCGAGCCAATGGAACAGTAATAGCAGGATGCTCTTGTGCTACTGGTCTGGCTAAACTGATGACTATCACGACACTGAGACACATAGGAGTCAGATGTCCCACGGTGCGGATCAAGAACCTCATCGACGACATAAGCCTCCACGCCATCGGAGGCAGGCGTTCGGTCACCAGGGAAATGAAATACGCCCTGAACTACCTCCTCGTGGGCCTCCAGAAGAAGGGCCTCCCGATCTCTTGGGACAAGATGGGGATTCTCTGCAGGGGCAAGGAGGTGTTTTCGGAGGTCTGTGGGGAGCTCCTTGGACCTCTGGACAGCCAACATCCCCCACCTGAAGTATGATCAATACCACAGGGACCTAGGAGGAGATGCTGTTGATGGTCGTTGTCGAAGAATTGGGACCCAGTTGAAAAGGATCCAGGAGGCCATGAAGAAGGGGGGCCGCATCCAGTCCGTGCAGGGCCTCGGGGTTAAAAGATCGGCGGTCCATCGTGCTGGTGTGCTATCCAAGAGTCTCTGGGGATGCAGCACAGCTGGGGTTCCCAACGGGCGTATCCAGCAGCTTCGGATGTCCTTCCTCAACGCCGCGGGAAGGTTCAAACCAGGGGCCCATGCAGGCCTTGCATTGCAGTTCTCAGAGAGCGGGTGGAGATCAGACCCGCTTGTCATCGCGACCGCGGATGCCATGCAGACGTTCGTCACGATCCGTGCGGCAGGCATGGTCTCCAGGAATGTGGTCAACGGACTTATCGTAGAGACACGGCCCTGGCTGAAGGAGCGCCACGCTTGGAACAAAGTCAAGAACCCCATCTCAGCTCTAGCAGTATCGCTCCACAGAATTGGCTGGACGCTGGAGGACGCAACTACTGTAAGAGATGATGAGGGTATAGTCTGGGACACCGCTCATTATTCAGCAGAGCTCGTCGCAGACATGGTCAAAAAGGGAGTGCAGAGGCACATAAGCCGAGAGGTTCTGAGAGGACTACGAGGTGTTGATGAGGAACCGAGGTTGGTAGAAATATCGCGGGGACCACTTCAGACGGCAATGAAGTCAAAGAAACTTTCCCCACATGAGAGGAGGTCTCTTAGGGGCCTCTGCTCAGGAGGTCACTGGTGCCAAGCCAGAGTGGCCCGAGCTTTCGAAGACCAGAGTCATTTATGCAAGCGCTGTGGCATAGCGCCGGGAACTTTATTCCACAGATTGTTCAGTTGCGACGCCTACGCAGGCCAAAGACAGATTCTGACTCCAGATATCATGCGAAAAGCGGCAGGGGAAATCAGCAAAGGGAGTCCTGCGATGCAGGAAAAGCTTGCGAGAGGTATCCTGCAGAACCCTGGACAGGCCTTTGCCAACATGCCGCGTTCATCAGCTCACGACTTCATCGACGTCGACAACACTGGAGTGGTGACAGTAGCAAACGGGTTCTTTTTCGTCGACGGCAGCGGCTTCCACACCAACATTCCAGAGCTCAGGGTTGCAGGCCGGGCTGTGATCGCCCTCGACAGTGAGCGTCGCCGAGTCGGACGTTTTTATGGTACAGTACCAAAGCAGATCGGGCCGCTACAGGTGGCGAAAGATGGCGAAGATTACGCAATTTATCAAGCTAGTCGACTGGCGCTAGGTACGTGGACGCTTCTCTCCGACTGCAAGAGCTCACTATCGTGCTGTGTCAACCTATCTTGGGCTGTGGGATCCAAGTGTACACGGGCACATGTCTGGAAGCTGACTAGGCTGAGGGAAGATTTCAGCGATCAATGTTTCCTGCACGTCAAAGCGCACGCAACAATGAAAGACGTTCGCGAGGGGAACATCTCGAAATTTCAAATGGACGGCAACGGGGAGGCGGACTCCTGGGCCAAGCATGGTGCAAAGCAGATACTGCCTCCAGAGCAACTGGTTAAGTTTGTGAACGGTTGCCGCAGATTTCATCGCATCTTGCTGGAGTATCTGGCGAGATTTGAAGTTTGGTTCTACTCTCAAGATGAACAATTTTTGGATTACTGGTTTCCAGTGGCAGATGATGACGAAGAAAGGATCGAGCAGGCGTTGCGCATGGAAGAGATTTCAACCGAGCCTTGGTTTGTGGGCAAACACGCCCTGTACGAATACAAAGCTGTGGGGCTGGACTACTGCCTCGTGTTCTGCACGACGTGCTGCAGATATTTAATCGCTTCGCTCCTTCCGCCGGCCCATACGGTCTCATGTCTGCCGTTTGCCCGAGGGCCTGGTGTCAATGCGGCGCTTTGGGGGTTCCTGGGGCCGCTTGGGGGGCTCCTGGGGCGCTCGGGGGGGCATTTGGGGGGCCTCCTGGGGCCGCTTGGGGGATTCTTGGGGGCCTCCTGAGGGCCTCGTGGGGGCCTTTTGGGGCCTCTTAGGGGCCTCTTGGGGCCTCGTAGGGGCTTCTTGGGGCCGAGGGCTCGAAATTTTGTTTTGTGTTCCCTCTCTGGGGCCCCTCTGGGGGTGTTCTTGGGGCCCTCTTGGACCGTCTTGGAGGCTTCTTGGGCCGTCTTCGAGCCCTCTTGGGCCATCTTGGGGCCCTCTTGGGGGCCTCTTGGGCCCTCTTGGGGCGATCTTGGGGGCCTCTGGGGCCGTCTTGGGGCGTCGGGAACCGAAAAGGTGGAAGCTCCAAAATCTTTCAAAAACCTAAGGAAAAACAATGAATTTTGCCTCCGGGGGCCCTCTTGGGAGTGCTCTTGGAGGCCTCTTGGGGCGTCTGGGGGCTATCTTGGGAGTCTTGGAGCGATCTTGTGGCATGTCGGACCCCTCGTGTACCATCTTGGGGGCCTCTTGGGGGCCTCTTGGCCTTTCTTGGGGCTCTCGGGGACGACTGCCTCGTGTTCTGCACGACGTGCTGCAGATATTTCAATTTGGAGTCGCACAAAGGTTTGGACGTGACGTGCCCTGGGCGCTCGGGGTCAGGACGGGGAATCGAGAACACACGACATTTCGAGAACCTCAGGCACCCGCAGAGCTCAAAGAAGCACGCGAAGTTGGACGGCCCGTCTCGGCCATCAGCGGAGACGAAGATCAAACAGTGGATTGATCCGTTGGTGGACACGGTGGTGGAGAGACCAGCGGCTACAGCACCTGCTCCCGCAGGTGATTCAAGGTACCACGACGTGCCCAGAATCTTACGAGGGTATGGGCTTTCATATGATGAAGTGCAGGAGCTGGGTCAACCTAGACCCGATTCAGGCTCTGAGGATGATGGCAGCGATGACGGACTCTTTGGCTGACTGTGGGGCCGAAGCTTCGGCGTTCAAATCCTGCCTTGTGCAGGTTCATATGTCGCCAGGCAGGTGCAGGCCGGCCAGGTCCCTTGGGATTGCAGCGTGGCTGGCCCTTGGGCACCTTAAGTGCTGGCCTGCATCCGGCCAGTTTTGCTGCATGCAGCTCGAGCATGATAGAGCTGATTCACGTGAGGGTTGGCACGGCCCTCTTCATCAGTGGCCACCTGGGCACGCTGGGCCACCTGTGGTTCGGCCTCGCCCTGCGGTCGCTGGACCTGCTGTGCGTGGTGTTCCGCGTCATGGCAGGCACCGTGCACGTGAGCACGGGCCTGCCGCAGGCTCCGTGCCCCCTGGCCGCTCGGCCGCCTTGCCAGGTCCGACTGGCTTCCCCCCCCCCCCGCCTCGGCGCATGCAACGCGGTTCCTGGCCCTTTGGGCTCCGTGGTGCACGCGATGGGGTGGGGGGCGGGGGGGCTAGTGGGCCTCTGCCCGCCGCCGCGGGCCGATCCAACCGCCTCTCGGCTGCTCGCTCGCTCGCTCATCCTCCTCCCCCTCCTCCTCCTCCTCCCCCTCCTCCTCCTCCTCCTCCTCCTCCTCCTCCTCCCCCTCCTCCTCTCCTCCTCCCCCCCCTCCCCCTCCTCCTCCTCCTCCTCCTCCTCTCCTCCTCCTCCTCCTCCTCCTCCTCCTCCTCCTCCTCCTCCTCATCCTCCTCCTTTCCTCCTCTCCTCCTCCTCCTCCTCCTCCTCCTCCTCCTCCTCCTCCTCCTCCTCCTCCTCCTCCTCCTCATCATCATCATCATCAGCAGCAGCAGCACCATCGTCCCTCATCATGCATCCTCATCCTCATCCTCTCCTCCTCCTCTTCCCTCCTCCTCCTCCTCCTCCTCCTCATCCTCCACCTCCTCTCCTCCTCCTCCTCCCCCCCTCCTCCTCCTCCTCCTCCTCTCCCCTCCTCCTCCTCCTCCTCCCTCCTCCTCCTCCTCCTCCTCCTCCCCCTCCTCCTCCTCCTCCTCCTCCTCCTCCTCCTCCTCCTCCTCCTCCTCCTCCTCCTCCCTCCTCCTCCTCTCTCCTCCCTCCTCCCCCCTCCTCCTCCTCCTCCTCCTCCCCCCTCCTCCCCCTCCCCCTCCTCCTCGGGTCACGTACGGCCCCGGGGGAAACCGTGCAACTCCGGGAGCGTCGGCCTCCCTGTGCCAACACCCGTGGGCCCAGGGACGCCGCCACGAGAAGATGCCTGGCAGGGCGGCCGGCAGGGCCCACAGGGCCCGCTCCCCTCCAGACGCGCTCGAACCGCACCCCGCGCAAAACTGGCGCCCGGACTCTCTCCCGGGGGCGGGGGGCGCAGGAAGGCAGGAGGGAGGAAGGGCAGGAAGGAGGGGCAGGAAGGGAGGAGAAGGGCAGGAAGGAAGGAGAATGAGAAGAAAGGCAGGGAGGGAGGGAAGGAGGAGACGGGGAGGGAGAGGAGAGGGCGGGAGGGGGGGGAAAAGCAGCAAGCGACGCAGACACGGGGGAGAGGGAGGAGGAGGAGGAGGAGGAGGAGGAGGAGGAGGAGGAGGAGGAGGAGGAGGAGGAGAAGAGGAGGGGGAGGACCGAGCCCAACGGGGGCGTCTTGACCAGGAAACTTCGAGGGGGGCGGCCGCCAGCCGCAAAAGAATGGCGAGGAGACTCCCAGAGGCGCGAAAGTGTGCGCGGGGTGCATCCCCCCCCCCCAGAGCCTCGCTGCCGCGGGGCCGGCGGACTGCAGGAGAACGGGGAGTGCGTGACGTGCGTGGGCTCCGCAGGGGGAAAAGTCGGTGACTCAGAGATGGGGCCCAGAGGGATGGAGACCCAAGGATAGGAAGGGATCCGAGGGCGGATTTGCACTGCCTGGGGCACCCCGTCCTGAGGGCCCCATCTCCTTCGGGACCGCGTCTCCGAACCACCGGCAAAGGGTAGCCCCGCGTAGGAATCAAGGGTGGGCAACCTTCCCAAGGGTACCCTTGCATCCGTGCCCCTTCGGCCCATCCTCAGCGACTTTTGCTGGCCAACCTCGGCCCAACCTCGCTCGAACAACGCTCGCACGGGCCCCCCAGGCCCTCGCACCCTCACGGCGCATCCTCCTGACACGGGCCGGCTGCACAAGTGCCGCTGCACGTGCTCCCCGGGACCTCTCCCGGGGTGCCTCGTGTCGGGGGCGGAAAAGAGGGGGGTGATGACTAGGGGGGGGTGGATACCATGGCGTGGGCCATGATATTTCCCCAGATTTCATGGCGCCTCTTCTCATTTCATTACGTCCCTGGCCCCCCCGCTGGGCCGCGCACATGCCGCCGGTCATGATTTGCACCCCCCCCTCTTGGACACCCCCCTCTTGGCCGCTCCCGATCGTGGCCAGGGCTCCAAAAGCGACTCCAGCCGTGGGGGCGCAAGCCCCCCCCCCGACAGAGACAAGGAATCGAAGCGAGGGCATCGGCATCGGCAGGGCCCTCTCGCCCCCTCCAGGGGTCCGACGTGCTGCTGCTGCTGCTCCAAGCGGGGGGGGCCCGACGTCCCGACCTTTGTCCTCCTCCTCCTCCTCCTCCTCCTCCTCCTCCTCCTCCTCCTCCTCCTCCTCCTCCTCCTCCTCCTCCTCCTCCTCCTCCTCCTCCGTCTGCAGGGGCCGGCTTCTCAGCCCGAGCCGGCGCTTGTTGGCGGCCCCAGGGCCTGGCGAGGGCCTCCCGGAGGCCGAAGACAACGTCGAGCTGCCGGATTTGATCGGAGGTTGATAGACCTGCCACCCTGACATGTCGATTAGTGAATTGGCCGTTTTCGGTTCGCGAGAGGGCGTCGCGGCCGTTATTTCTGCGGGTCCAGGTCCGTCGGTTTCGGTCCCAGGCCGTTTCACTAAAGGGAGGTTTACTGAAGAGAGGTTTGACCACCGCCGATTGGAGGTGTCGGCACGGTGGAGGTCCCGGCGCATGTCTGCCCTGACAGCCGCCGATCCGCTCTTTGCAATCCGCGGCCCCAGAGGTACCAGCCACTTCCCCAGGGGCAGTTCATCGCCCTGGAGCCATTTCTGATGGCCCTGGGGCCCGAAAACAGCCCTCGCTGGAGCCGGTTCTGATGGCCCTGGGGCCCGAAAACGGCCCTCGAGTGAGGCCCTCGAGAGCTGGAATCGATGAAACATGCTCGGGTTGTATTAGTTGTTTCTTCTCTACAAGAAATAGCCGGAGATCTGGGCACACGTCTTACGCAGGTGTGCGATTACGCACCCCTTGTGGAACGAACCGCTCAGCTCTCGCGCCGAAGACCGCCGTGACACCACCAAAGACCCCCGAAGAGACCGCCGAAGATCGTCCAGAAGCCGCCGAAGACCGCCCGAGGCCGATGGGTTACAAGGGGCCCATGGTCGAGTGCGTACGGTATACTCGCGTCGGCTGGCGGCGACCCCGCCGCGAGCGTTCAAGGCTGAACGCCGCTGTTGAGAGATCTGACCTTTCGGGAATTGCCGATCGTCCAAGCTTGAACGATCCCCGCGGCTTCAGGCGCCAACGCTGGGGTCGGCATGACACGAACCTGCCGTGGCCGTCTCCTGGTTCCTTCTTCCAGCAGCCGGCGAACGCCCACCTTCAGAGGTCTCAGCCCTTTCTCTGGGCCAGCTTTTCCTTTGGGCAGCTTCTGTTGACGGTCCCGAGGCCCAATTTATGGAGTCCCAGACCCGGATAGCGGAGCGCCAGAAGGCCGTCCAAGGCCTTCTCGAAAGAGCTCTGGAAGCTCTTGGAAGGAGCTTCTGGAGAGCGGGCACGCGTACTGGGAAACGCTTACTCCAGATTTCGTAATAAAAGGGAGGGGGTCTGGACCCTCCAAGACAAGCCATTTCAGACCTCCCCCGTGGGAGAACCCTCCAAAACATCGTCCCCAGACCCCCCCAGGCCCTCCAAGATAGCTTGGAAAAGACCCCCCCCGAAATGAGACCCCCCTCCCTTTACTACGAAATCTGGAGTAGACAAGGTCTCTCGGAACAGACTTCTGGTTCAAGCAGGCTGCTGCGGGGCTCTCTGCCGGAAGCCAGGAACGAGCACCGGGGGGCTGCCCTTGCCGGCCAGCCTCCAAGCGGAAACCCGCCTGTAGCTCTCGCAGAGCGCTGTACCCGGGAGTGCAGGCCCCCGGGGGCCGAACACGGCAGCAGCAGCAACAGCAAAGCTGCAAACGGAAGCAGCGAACGGGAACAGCCGTCGTGCTCGTCGCTGCCCCTCCTCCTCCTCCTCCTCCTCCTCCTCCTCCTCCTCCTCCTCCTCCTCCTCCTCCTCCTCCTCCTCCTCCTCCTCCTCCTCCTCCTCCTCCTCCTCCTCCTCCTCCTCTTGCTCCCGAGGCTCGGCGCTGCAGCCCAACTTCGAGACCTTCCGGCAGGCGAACATCTCGGTGTCCGTGCTGGTCGGCGCGGTGCCGCAGTGCCGCCGCTGCCTCGGGCGCCGCGAGCCGCGGCCGGGCGAGCCCGGGGGCGAGCACGAGCTGGTCGTCTCGGGGACAGCCGCCACGAATCAAGCAGTGGCGAAGCGTCCCGGCTTGCCCATGGGCGCACCAGAGAATGTTCTAAGAACCCTTGTGTGGACTGCACGAGGTGCTCTCAGAAGATTTCTGGCTGAGACTGGACTTGTGCTAATGCATCGGGCCGATGTTCTCAGGACATTGCGATTGTTCTTGGAGCATTTCGGGGTTCTAAGAACATGTCGTGGTAGGCCTATAGGAATGCGGGGACGGTTGGTCCCTGCTTAAGTGAAGGGCGCTCGAGGTTCGAGGATCAAGGTTCGAATCCAGACAGGATCGCGTCGTTTGAAGAAAATCAGGACGGGAGGTTTTTGGCTGCTTTCGGCTCGGGGGGGCCCTCGCGGGGCCTCGGGACCGTCAAAAAACGATTCAGGACGACAAGCCGGTCCCGGGGAAGGGGTCGGGACTTCCAGGGACGCCGTCCTGAATAAATCCGGACGCCGCATCTTTAGGAAGGTGTTCGGGCGTGTGCTCGCCCGTTCTGGGCCTCAGGAGAGCGTCTCGTCGCCGCCGCTGGATGCGCCTGGAAGTCTGGTCCGCACGCACCCCCGGAACCGGTCCAGGCGCGAACCCTGGTCTCGATTTCGGCTTCTAAGTAGGGACCGTCCAGGCCCCGGGGCCGCGAGAGACGGGTCCAGGGCGCGGACAGCTGGGCCTGGAGACTGGGTCGGGGCCTATGGGGCCACGGAAGGAAAAATTAGACTGGCGGATTTCGAGGACAGGCGCTCGAGGATCACGGATCGGGGTTCGAAGGTGCGAAGTGCGAAGTGTGAAGGTCCAGGCGCGGGCCTTATCTATAGATGTAAGGCCAGCGCCTTTTAAGAAGCAGCCTCCTTCTAAGAAGCCCTCCCCTCTCCCTCCACCCCCTTGTGCGCGCCGCCAAGCACCGTCGGGCCAACTCGAGTCCCCCGAGCCCGAGCCTTTGCGCCTCCCCGAGTCCAGGATAGTGAACCGCGCCGAGTTCCAGCTCTCGGCGGACCTCACGTCGCTGCCCTGCGCGCTCCAGGCGCGGCACTCGTACTCCGACGGAGAGCAGCGGACCCTGGGTGTGCTCTTCAACGCGATCAAGGACGAACAGGGGCAAACTCCCGCGGACGGTAACGTATGCACCGTACCGCGTGGGCGCCTCCCGAGGCGCTGTCGACCTTCGACCCAGGAATGGTGCGGTTGATAGCTCATCGGCCCTCAGGAGCCCACAAACTGTGCACCGTACCACGTTGGAGCGGGGCCTGAACGGAGCCCAGGCGTGGTACGGTGCATGGGCTCCGTTCGCGTAAAGCTGCACAAGCACAGAGCCTCGGACAGGGTCGGTGCTGGAGGCGCTGCCAGGGGGGAGCCAGCGCCGATCCGAGACATCCGCGCGGACCTCCAAGATTTTGCGTTCATGTCGTGCTTCCTTCCTCTGAAGGAGGCGCGCCGCTGCGTCGACTGCATCCTGCTGGTACTCATTCACTACTACTGCGGGGCGCTGCAGATTGCCGTGGTCGTCGCTCTGCAGGCCGCGCTCTGTCTGCCGGAGGCGCTGCAAGGGGTCCAGGTGATGCTGTTCTTGTTCGTCCTGCTGCCCGTGGTCTCCGCGTCGCTCCTCTTCAACGAGGCTCCAAGAAGAGAAACTGCCGCGGGTTCTGGCCCACCACGCTTCGACGCGACACGCAAACCACGCCCCAGTCAAACTTCTCTCGTCCCCCCTCCCCGCAGAGCGGGCGACACGCGATCCGCTCGCGAGGCATAGCGTGTCGCCGGGGCCGCCGCCGCGACATGCTATGCGCAGAGCGCGCCAGGGGCAGCTCCCTGGAGGCGCCGCTGAGGGTAGGTCAGCGCCGATCCAAGAAATTCGATCGGACCTCATAAAGTTCAAGGTTATGTCATTGTCTCTTCTTCTGGAGGCCTCCCCGCAGCTGATGAAGGAGCTGCCTCTCAAGAAGGCGGACGAGAAGACCCTCGCCCAGCCCGGCCGGCTGATGTCGCTGTACGCGTGCCGCTCCGTGCCAACCGCACTGGTGCTCGCAAGAGAAGCACGACACGAACAGACGCTTCCGCAGGTCGGCGCGCATTTTCTTGGGTCGGCGATGGCGCCGCCCCTGGCGGCGCCCAGCGCCCATCCGAGAAGCCTGCGCGGACCTCCGAAAGCTCACGACTGTGAAGCCTGCAGCTGCTTTGTGCCTCCTGAGTGGAGTCCGAGTAGGTGGGGTCGGTGCGGAAGCTCGCGCCGCATCGCCGATGCGTCGGCGATGCGGTTCGATGTGGAGCCCTCTTTCTTCCGCTCCGGCGTCGCCGATGCATCGCCGACGTCGCCGATGCATCGCCGACGTCGCCGATGCATCGCTGAAGCATCGGCAACGTATCGCTGATACATTGCCGATGCAGGGCGGTGCTCCAACCCCAGGAGGCCTCTAGCTTTATGATGTTCCAGCCTACTTTGGGCCTTGATCACCAGACAGAGCTTCGAGCACCAAAACAGTACCGAAACTCCAGGTTTCTGACGTGTCGGGCCCTGGGAGACACTCGCCCGGCACTGTCTCCACACTCCTTCGACACTTTTTTCCGGATGCTCGACATCATTTCCAGGATGTGGTCCTCGAGCACGCCGGGAGCAAGAAAACTCCCAGCTCCTCTCCCAGGTGCTGGTGGCCGCGTTCCTGCACGACCTGCACCGGGTGACGCGGTGGCAGGTCGACCAGGCGAGGGCGGCGCGGAGCTCGGCCGAGCCAAAAGGGGCTCCGCCCTGGGGGCTCCCCGTCCAGCTGGCGACTGCTCGCGACTGCTCTCGGGCAGCGCGGAGCCCAGTCGGAGCAGGTCCGGCTCGAGCCAAGGGGGCTCCGTCTGGCATCGGCCACGCGCAGAGGGGGGCAGGGGGAGGGATGGACATGGAAAGCTTCTCAGCAGCACCCCTGCTCTCTCAGAAGGCGGGGGTTGCATCTATGTATATATATATATTATATAGAGAGAGAGGGAGAGATGTAAGGCTGGCGCCTGCTAAGAAGCAGTCCCCTTCTCAAAGAAGCCTTGTCCCCCTCCCCCATGCCCCGCTGTGCGCGCCGCCAATGGTGGGCCTCCAGCTGGACTGAGCCTCTCACGACAGCTGTGGAAGACGACCACCGGAGAGGAGGCATGTTGCCAAACAATTTTCAGATATCTAGAACATGCTTAAAACATGTCTTATACATGTACAGACATGCTTGAAACATCCTTTAAATAGCTTTCAAGCAATAAGGCACATTTAAACGCAATGATAGGGTTATGATGTTCCAACCTACTTTAGCCTTGACAACCAGAAAGAATTTCGAGCGCCAGAAAAGTATCCACAAACTCGAGGGTGTTCACGTGCCGGGCCCTGGGAGACACTGCTTCGACACTCCTTCGACACTCTTCCGGGTGCTCGGAATCATGTCTGGGATGTGGCCCTGAAGCACGAGGGGAGCCACATAGAGTGCCAGGGCTGTTGGAGTGTCCATTGCCATGGCGCCCACAGCCGCACAGGCGAGGGATCTGCCCTCGTGGAGCGCCTCGCTGCAGGGCGCCTGCGACGGCTTCGACTGGACCTGGTGGGTCACCGGCCGCTGGCCCCGCTGCGCCGGCGCCCTGGAGGGCGGCGCGGCGGCGGCGGACAGCTCGGGGCCCTGGCAGTCCCTCGGGCCCCACAGCGGCGGCAGGCCTCGGACGGGGCGGGGCGCGAACCGGTGTGGGGGACGAGGCACGTCGGAGACGGGAGCACTCCTTGCCACCGTCCTGGCCTCCCGGAGGGGGTAGCCTCCTGGATGGGGTCAGAGCGGACGGGGTCGGAGGATGGCACCGCATCGGCGATGCGACTCGATGCGGAGCCCGATTTTCTCCACGCTGGAGTCGCCGATGCATTGCCGATGTCGCCGATGCGTCGCCGATGCATCGGCGATGTATCGCCGATGTATCGGCGATGCGGTGCGATCTTCCGACCTTATCTACTCCGACCCCGTCTAGGAGGCCTCTACAGTGGCGGGCCGCTTTTCAATCTCAGGCCGTTCTGAGGGTCGGGGACGACGTCGGGGTGGTGTGATGTATACTTTGTTTCCCCGTTTTCCCGGGGAAACTGCGAAAATGTATACACCAGGATCCCGTATACACCTGGATCCGCTCTCCTGTGCGAGCTTCAGTGCGGGGCAGGAAACAGCGTCGATGTATAGAGTTCGGCTTCTTCAAATGGGTGGGGAGAAAGCTGCGTTTTTTCTGGTTCTCAAGGATCCCTCTGGGGCCCTGAAGGACCCCTTTAGAAGCCCCAAAGGCCCCTTTTCTGCAGCCATCGCTGCCCCCCCATTGGTTGCCCCCTCCAGTAATTCGCGCCCAACGGGACTGGGACGAGGATGAATCCGTTCCAGAGCGTTCCGGAACGTTCTCAGAGCGTTCCCGAGCGCTCTAGGAAGGCCGCGGCGCCCGAGACGTCCTCCAGAACCGACGGATCGCACAGATTCTCGATCTGCCCCCACCAGGATTTATCCTCGTTCCAGTTTCGTCTTAAGGCTGCTGGACTCCTCCTGCGCCCTCGCGCACGCGCAGCAGTGGGCCGCCCTCCTGTTTGTGGTCTACGAGGCTCGGGGGAGAATGGTTTTTGAATTCAAAACACCTGGTTTCTGAATTCATAACATTCAAAACAAAACAAAGCAACAAAAACGTGTTTTTTGGTGAATTCAAGAAGCCGTTTTTTGAATTCAAAAGCCTGCGCAGGGTCAGAGGCTCTCGAGGGTCCGCGCCGATGTCTCGGGTCGGCGCTGGGCCCCCCCTGGCACGTTCTCCGCGCGCCAAGAGTCAGGCGATCGCAAACATGGATTAAGGGGGCTTCTAAGAAGCAGCCTTCTTCTAAGAAGCCTCCCCCCTCCCCCTTCCCCTTGTGCGCGCCGCCAAGTCTTGAGGAAGGCCCCGTGGTCCATAACCATTTTTTTCCCGCGGATTCGATTGCCTCATTCAGGCGATCGCACACATGGATCAAGGGGGCGTGGATGAGCGACGGGTCCCGCTTCCATGGCTGATCGCGGATTTCCGCCGCCGAGCGAGGCGGCGCCGGCCGCATGTTGGGGAGGGCACCTCCCCCGATCCATGGATTTGGCGACCGCGCGCCAAATCCATGGATCGTCAATCCATGCTCGCGCGCCCCCGAAGGAAGGGTCGGGGAGCCCCCAAACGGTGCGGTGACCAACCCGTGTGGTGAGTCAGTGGGGATCTGGGGTGGCCGCACGGTGTTCGGACTTGGGCCGTTCTCCGAGGAGGTCTTAAGCCACTGGGGCCTCCGAGGACCAAAACCGTGCGGTGCGGTCTTAGGGATTTCGAGGTCGCCGCACGGTTTGTCTCCGCATCGTTCTGCGACCACCTACAGAATCCAGCGCCGATCCAGGGAATTCGGGCGGGCCTCCGACTGCTTGTGCTTACTTGCCGTTCTATTTCTATATTCCTCCAGAGGTGGCCCTGGCCTTCACCTTCCTGGACCGCTACGACTCGCTCCTGAAGCGGGGGCCCGCCTCCAACAAGGTCCCCGGGGAAACACGTTAGGGCTCGAGCCTGGAGAGGTCGGGTCTGCCGCCGCCTCTCTTGGCGGCCCCAGCGTGAACTCTGGCTGCGAAGTGCTCGTCGGCTGCCTGCAGCGGGAGCCCGCGCCAGATGTCATGTCGGGTCCCGCCGTTTCTCCGACGGCTCCGTCAGGCGAGCCCGCACCCCCCGAAAGCTCGAGGTTCACGTCCTCCCCGGCAGGTGCTCTGCGCGGTGGCCGCGATGACGCTCCTGGCGAACTGGGCGGCGGGCTCGGCGATCGTGTCGCGGTCCTGCGGCAGGGACTGGCACACCGTGCTCATGCCCTCCTGGGACTTCTGGCTGGCGTACGTGCTCGCGTGGCCGATCCTCGCCATCGCCGTGTCCGAGGGCACGAAGCGGCGGGACAGGAGGCACCACAGCCACCTCCAGAGGACCCTCCGCGTGCTCTTCAACACCCGACTGGGCATGTGGAGTCCGAAGTAGATGAGGCCCTGGCTCTCTGGACCCTCTCGCCGCTGCGTCCGCCGAGTTCTCGCATCCCCTCCCCCTCCTCCCCCTCCTCCATCCTCCTCCTCCTCCTCCTCCTCCTCCTCCTCCTCCTCGTCCTCCTCCTCCTCCTCCTCCTCCTCCTCCTCCTCCTCCTCCTCCTCCTCCTCCTCCTCCTCCTCCTCCTCCTCCTCCTCCTCCTCCTCCTCCTCCTCCTCCTCCTCCTCCTCCCCCCGTCGGCCTTGGATGGCGCCGGCCGTCCCTAAAAGGCTCTGCAGTGGACGCCGACCAGAAATTACCTCGCTCCCTCCTTGCGGGTCTCTCGGGTGCGTTCGCTTGGCGCCTGCCGCGCCCTGCTGCGTCTATCTGAAGAGATCGCGCCAGATGATGCGCAGCAGCTCAGAAGCAGCGCGCAGCGCTCCACTGCAAGGAGTGTGCTTGCAGGCGTCTACGAGCAACAGCAGCAGAATGAGCAGCAGCAGATGGAACAGATAACCAGGGAGTGGAGGAAAAGGAAGGAATACAGGAAGGAAGCCCGGAAGAAAGGAAGGAAGGAAAGAAGGAAGGAAGGGGAGGAGTAGGAGGAGGAGGAGGAGGAGGAGGAGGAGGAGGAGGAGGAGGCGGAAGGGGAGGGGATGGGGGGCAGGATGGGCAGAAAGGAGGGAAGAGGAGGAAGAGGAGGAGGAGGAGGAGGAGGAGGAGGAGGAAGGGGAGGAGGAGGAGATGGAGGAGGAGGAGGAGGAGGAGGAGGAAGAGGAAGAGGAAGAGGAGGAGTGGGAGGAGGGGGAGGAGGGCCTGGATCCATCCCTCCGTCCTGCACCTGGTCTCGCCTTTCGCTTCGGCGCGCCATCTGAGCGAGCCCGTGGCACAGACTCCGCCTCGCCCTGCTCGCCCTGCTCCCCCCCTCCCCCCCCCTCCTCCTACTCGCCCTCCTCGCCCTCCTCGCCCCCTGCTCCCCCCTTCGCCCCCCCGAAGGCCGCGCGCCGAGGCGGGGCTGCCCCGAGGGCCTCCGGAGGCCTTCGAGGGGGCCGCCGAGGCCCGCACGAGCCCCGCACGGGGCCGCCGAGTGCGCCGCCGAGGGCGCGGCCGATGGGGGCGGCGAGGTGCGGCTCCGAGCAGCGGATGTTCCACGCCGCCCACAGCGCGACCTACCAGCACGGCCCCATGTCGGTGGTGCCCAGCCGCCGCGGGGGCCGCTTCGAGCCTCGTCCGGATCAGCTTCACCCTCCCCTGTCCCTCCTCCTCCTCCTCCTCCTCCTCCACCTCCTCCTCCTTCTCCTCCTCATCCTTTTCCTTCCTCCTCCTCCTCCTCCTCCTCCTCCTCCTCCTCCTCCACCTCCTCCACCTCCTCCGCCTCCCTCGCTTTTGTTCGACGGCCCCAGAGCCGGGAAGCAGCCTCTGGAGGCCAAACACGTCCAAACACCAGTCGTCGCGATGATCTTGCGTCGCCTGGATCTTGAGGGCTTGGCACTGCACAGTGGCGCTGGCTACCACCAGGTGGGCACAGCCACAACCACCGAAAGATCGACTGCGA